CCATAACATACTGGGATGTAGGGACTCATTCATTCATTTCACCCATTTAGATGCCTCTCTCGGCCATTAGTACTCTGGCCATGCATGTGTTTTTCTGCAGAGTAGACCCTGATGAGAATACACAGGTGTCTTCTTTATAAGGAAGGATCAGGAAAAGATCCTTTCCTAGAAACCCATACCAATAATCCCAACTCTGTTGTGTTATTAGTCATTTCTTTTCTCTTCTACCCTCATTCTCTCTCCTCCACACATTATCATGTGTTCTTCTTGGGCTCCATTGTTTATAGCATAAACTTTATGCTATGAGTTCTTTGGGCTTGGTCTTTTGAATATCAAAAGACATTTTTCCTCTCAAAAAGGCTCCACTCTCACTAGCTTTTTGAGACATCATCTCCATTATGGGATTCAATAATATACTTTGGAAATCGTGTGTCAAGTATTTGTCTTCCCATGCTTTCTGTGTTTGCCTTTCTCATGAAGCTATCAACTTCAAGGTCATTGTCCAGTGTTCATAGTGAAAAGGTTACAGAATAAAAGAGTAATTACTAAGAATTAAAAGCATGTTTATACTTCAAGGTGTCATCTAACAAAGGACCATCAACAAAGCGTTTATAGCCCAATGGAGGGGATAGAAAGGTAACAAAGAGTTATAATAAAAAGAATAGTATAGGGACCCAAGCCATATGTGACTGGCCTTGCACAGCAAAATAAAATGAAGAGAAGGGTGGTTGGGAGAGAATGAAATGGTGACTTGAATTTTATGCATGTGAAATTTGTGCTGCTTCTTGGACTTCCAAGCCATATGCAGCCAATAAGGCAAGTTATATTTGTGACTGCTGGAGAAAAATATTCAGAGGAAGAGATACAAAAATTAGAAAGCATGGCTGGTCCTGCACTCTTTTGTTTTTGTTTATTCCATGGTTCGTCCTCAAACTATTCTATTTAGAGAGGGAAGAATGTATGATAATCTGGTCATGAGTGAGCCCTGGGAGACTTAATTTTAACTAGGTATAGAGCAATCAATTGCTCCATCCCCAAATTTGTGCAGAAAGGGAAAAATGGACTTGTGTGTTGGTAATATTATATAATGCCCCAAAGTGTCTTCATTGGCCACAGATATTTTTCAGAAGAGGCTGTTTTAACAGAAAGTCTTTCTCTGTTTGTACTGCCCAGATAAAAGAGAAGGAGAAAATCTGCCTTTCCTTACTTCCCAGCAACCATATTTGTCTTTTTCTTTTTCTTTTTTTCTTTTTGGATGTGCATGCACATATATTTGCAGTTGTATGAGAAAGTCTGGGAGTTTCCTAAATTCCCTCCTGACTCTGACTCCTGAAGAAGGGATCAGGTTTCCCTTGACTGGGCCATGATTTTGCCCTTACTTCTGCATTGTGAACTCTGCCTTCTGCCTTCTGCTCTCAGAGTAAATCATGGAAACCCCAGATAGCATGGTTCAGTGAAAAATATTAGGCTTCTTTCTCTGGGGGTCAAGAGTGGGCCTTGTCTTAGGCCTGGCATTCTCTGGAACTCGGGCTAAATTAGAACGTTCTTGGGTATCGAACAACCTCCTCCCCCCACACACCCAGGACCACACATAAAGTACCCAGATGTGCTTGACTGATTTTTGGAAGCTTCCTGGATTTTTGTGTGACTGCTGGATATTTGCCACCACTCAAACTATTGTACCCAGTTAATCTTTCTACCTTGGCAATTTTAGTTACTTACTCTTACAGACTTCCACAAATACTCAGGAGGCTGTAAATGGCCTTTTTGGGACAAAATGATGTTTCAGCTGAGTGTAAGAAATATCTAGCCACAGAGATTACTAATAAAATCAAGAGTCAGTTTGCTGAAGGAATGGAAAGAAAGGAAGCAGTTAGTAGTGAATTTCATCAGAAAAGCTGCTCTCAGAGAGAGACAGCTATCATTTTTTTTCAATAGTATTAGGACAGTAGTGCTAATTGTGGTGGTGATTGTAGAGTGTTCTCCTTTATGGTGAGGGTTGGCAGCAAAGTTTTCTCTGCTAGGGCTCCAGGTCTGCTCTGTCCAATAGCACTTTCTGAGATAGTGGAAATGTTTAATATGTGCATTGTCTGAGATGGTAGCCTCGGGCCATGTGTAGCCATTGACTCCTGGAATAAGGCAAGTCTGATGTAGGTGTGTGGTAAGTGTAAACTACCCATCAGATTTCAAAGGCTTAATGTGAATAAAAGAGTGTAAAATATCTCATTGATAATATTTAAATATTAATTACGTCTTGAAAAAATAGAATATTTTAGGCTAAATAAAATGTTTTAGTAACCTCATTTCACCTGTTTATTTTTGTCTTTTTTAAAAAATGTGGCTATCAGAAAATTCAAAATTCTACATATAGCTTAAAATATATTTTGAAATATATTTCTACTAGGCAGTTTTACTCTAGGCAATCAAGAATTCTAGGTGCATTGGAGGACAAAGGAACTGCAGGAGGTAAAGGTATGCACAGAACTCATGCAGGAGCTAAAATGTGAAATGCTATCTGGTGGAGGTTGTGCGGGGGCCCAAATAAAGCTGTTGGAGAATGTGTGTGAAGTTAGGACCAGAGTTCCTTTTGTCAGTCTGCCTGCACAGTCCAGATCCTAGCCCTGCCACTTGCTGGCTGTGTGCAAATTACTTACCTTATTTCAACTTAGTTTTCCTATATATGAATGCAAAAATAATATTTGCTTGTTCATTTCCTATCTCCCACAAAGAATGTAAGCTTCAAATCAGCATGAAAAATTCTTGATTTACTTCTGTAAAACCAAGCACCTAAAGCAGGTAATGGCACATGTAGGCACTGGGTAAATATTTATTGAATGAAAATGCATGTGGTTGCTTTTCATAGGGCATGTATTAAAGTACATAACTAAAAATATTCAGCACATTTTTGGTACATGTTAAGCATACAGTTTATGTTACTATCCTAATTAATGTATCAAAAGATCTTTTCCAAGGACTGTGTTTCCCTGCCCTCNGTTTTCTCTGCTAGGGCTCCAGGTCTGCTCTGTCCAATAGCACTTTCTGAGATAGTGGAAATGTTTAATATGTGCATTGTCTGAGATGGTAGCCTCGGGCCATGTGTAGCCATTGACTCCTGGAATAAGGCAAGTCTGATGTAGGTGTGTGGTAAGTGTAAACTACCCATCAGATTTCAAAGGCTTAATGTGAATAAAAGAGTGTAAAATATCTCATTGATAATATTTAAATATTAATTACGTCTTGAAAAAATAGAATATTTTAGGCTAAATAAAATGTTTTAGTAACCTCATTTCACCTGTTTATTTTTGTCTTTTTTAAAAAATGTGGCTATCAGAAAATTCAAAATTCTACATATAGCTTAAAATATATTTTGAAATATATTTCTACTAGGCAGTTTTACTCTAGGCAATCAAGAATTCTAGGTGCATTGGAGGACAAAGGAACTGCAGGAGGTAAAGGTATGCACAGAACTCATGCAGGAGCTAAAATGTGAAATGCTATCTGGTGGAGGTTGTGCGGGGGCCCAAATAAAGCTGTTGGAGAATGTGTGTGAAGTTAGGACCAGAGTTCCTTTTGTCAGTCTGCCTGCACAGTCCAGATCCTAGCCCTGCCACTTGCTGGCTGTGTGCAAATTACTTACCTTATTTCAACTTAGTTTTCCTATATATGAATGCAAAAATAATATTTGCTTGTTCATTTCCTATCTCCCACAAAGAATGTAAGCTTCAAATCAGCATGAAAAATTCTTGATTTACTTCTGTAAAACCAAGCACCTAAAGCAGGTAATGGCACATGTAGGCACTGGGTAAATATTTATTGAATGAAAATGCATGTGGTTGCTTTTCATAGGGCATGTATTAAAGTACATAACTAAAAATATTCAGCACATTTTTGGTACATGTTAAGCATAAGTTTATGTTACTATCCTAATTAATGTATCAAAAGATCTTTTCCAAGGACTGTGTTTCCCTGCCCTGGGGCATGTATTAAAGTACATAACTAAAAATATTCAGCACATTTTTGGTACATGTTAAGCATAAGTTTATGTTACTATCCTAATTAATGTATCAAAAGATCTTTTCCAAGGACTGTGTTTCCCTGCCCTGGATTCTGATACCCGTGTAGGATCATTGGCCAAGAGAATATGATCCCACTTCCTCACCCAGACACACTTGGCTTGTGGTTATGTTCTGGTCTCCTTGGTGGCATCCTCTCTAGCCCTCCCACTTCTACTTAATCCTGCCCAATGTCAAAGTTCTTACCTGCCATGAATATGTCAGCACTTTATGCTTTGGGCTCTTGGTGCCTGCTGCTCTATCTGCCAAAATGCCCTCTGCCTATTTTGTGTCTTGACCCTTGCTCCTATCCCACTTCTAGAAGGAAACATTAGCCAGCCCTCTCTGATGAAGCCCCTCAGGGTCCCCTCTGTCCCTATGCAGCCTCCCCTATTATGCTGAGCTTACTGAATGGTGCTGCACAGGAGTCTGATGTCCCCTAGTGTCACACAGTCTGTTGTTTTTCACCAATTGAAATGAAGCAATGGAATAGAAAAGAATGTTGTCACTCATTCAGGGGACCACAGACCCTGTCCCCAACTCCACCACATGCAGGATGACCCCCATCACCTGGGATGTGAGCAGTCCCTCAAAGGGCAGTGGGACACAGAAGAACTCAATAAAGACAGAGACTCGGGTGCCTATTCTGGTTCTGCCACTCATTTGTTTTGAAATTAGGGCCACCTTTTCCCTATTTCATCTTCTCTCCCTCTTCATACCAATGGGAAGTGAGAACACATAAAATCTCCCCTGTAAAGTTTCTTTGAAAGACTAATGGTTTAGAAATTTAGGGTGCTCTGGTGCTCTTCGGAGTGGATTTTGGAGGGAAGACACAATGGAACATGGAAAAACTTGTGAAAAGTTTATTTTATGAACCACAAGAGATATTTCAGCCCAGTTTTCTTCGAGGAAACCACCTGGGTGTTGAGAAGAGACCAACAGCTTCCATTAAGATATAACTAGGGTGGTGATGGTGTAGTACCGGTTTGCTTTGATGGGGACCACTGCGTCATCGTTGGGGCAGATACCTAGCTCCCGAACGATGTCAACAATGGCCGCGATCTTTGTGGTGCCTGAAAGAGATGAGGACAGAGATCATGTCCCAGACAACACCGCCCTAGTGTTCTGTCTTTTCTGCTACTGCCAGGCATCTGTCCACTGGGGTTCAGTTTCTTCAAATCATTTGCCAACTTATCTCCCTTGTTAGCTGTTCTCACCCAACGCCTCCTTTTTGGGCATGGTCCCCATCAACTCTGCCTGCTCTTATTCCCTTCCTCCTCCTCTGTCCTTCTGCTCTGAAGGTTCTGCTCCTGTTCCAGAGCCATGTTTCTGTCTATAGTTTTCCTTCCCTGGTGGGTAGTTCTTCTCTTGGACAACATCTGTACTTACTATTGCTCCGAAAGTCCCAGAAGAAGGTTCTTGGATAATCTTCACAGAGGCAGCCAGTGAACTTATAATTAAAAGAACCACCAATGAAGACGCTGCTTTCGAGGTGAGCTTTAATCTGGTGAGAAGGTGTTAGGAGAGGAGCTAGTGTTACTTTGGGAGTTGGGAGGGGAGGGAAGGACAAGACAGGAAGGAGCGGAGGGCAGAGGGGGATAGAGGTGGGCCAGAGGCACGGAGGAGTCCACTTTCATAGTGTCATTTTGGGAGCTAGCGTCTAACATCAGAAGTTTTCTCTCCTCACGTCCTCAAACTCCTGACTTAGCCATGTGGACGTAAGGCTCAGGAGGGGAGAGGAAGATGCAAGTGAGTCCACAGGGAAGGAGAACTCATCCTGGGCAGCCGTCCCTCTGGGGAGCAGATGCTTTAGTGACCAGACTGATCTTTCAGAAATTGACCTGCATTAACTTTTACTCTGCAATCCGGTGAGACTGCAGCCTGGCCACTTGGGTGTAGAAGCCAATGCCAGGCCTTGTATTCAGGACTATGACCAAGCCCCAGTGGGATCCTAACTGTGTGGCCTTTAGTGATGGAAGTTTCACCTCTGCCTTTCCTCACTCTGGGGTGGAAACAATTACCTACCAAGCCTGGCTGTTAGGTAAGCAAATAACATCTTGACTGCAATTTTTATTTTTCTTCTCTAACTTGAGAATGCTTTGCATTTTGAAATCCCATGTTATTATATACATACATTTCAGTGGAGTCAGGAAGCTTTTGTCTAGTTAATGTTAACACAGGAATTTTATCCTGGGGTCCATCAACCCAGAGAGATCTGTGTACAGAACTCAGTGAATCTCTGAACTTTGGTGGGAAAAAAAATTTACATTTTATCAATCTCTAATTGAAATTTATCATTCCTTCAGTTACAAATGTCACCAATGAACCACAGTAGCATTAGTAGTATGTGTGATTTTATCACAAGGAGACACATAGATATGTTGATACAACTTTACAGATTTAGATATCTTGGAACGTTGCTTGTACTCATCACTACTTTGAACATGTGGTGGTCATCAGAGTGGCTGCAGCATCACGGCAGAGGCCATCTGCCCATCTCCTGAGCTTGCTCTGACACCTGGCAACTCTACACGGAAGATCCCATCAGCCCCCAGCAGCAGATTCAAGCATTCTTGCTACTGAAGTTTTACTCAGAATGGCTTGGAACATCCTGATATTTCTTCAGAATTGCCTGCTTTGCCTTGTTTACCTTTTATGACATTCACAACAATGTATCTTCATGAATCGGAATTTTTCAACATGTAGATAATCAAAACAAAAAATCAGAATTCAGTGGATGTCCAGTGTGGCATGAGTGAGGTGCTGTCAAAGCCAAGTGCACAGTTGAATGTACTTCAAGCTAAGCAACAGCAGCCATCAAACAGATAATGCCTTCATAAAATAAAACTTATCTGTATTTTAAATGTATTGCTTTTCCAGCTAATGTGTTGATAAAGAAACAAGTATTACCGCATCATAAGTTTATTTTTAATAATTTTATCACTGTTATTCACTGTGGTAGTTTTCCTATGTAATCCAATGCACTTCATGCATTTTTGAAAGCAATTTTCTGGTAAGTATTCAAAAGACTTCATGAAACCAGCAAAGTGATCCATTGCACAAAAAGGTTTAAGCACTGCGGTTTACCATAAATTATCTTCGGCCTTAAAGAATTATAGAATCTTTGTATTCAAGAACACAATTGTAGGTATAATCTATTATATTTTAATTCTAAAATAAATAAATGTGAGCCTAAGATCTCACTTTATCAAAAATCCAGTTGTGCAAACATTATGACTAATAGAAAATGAGGAATAGATGATAGAAATTTCACACTTATATAAACAAATAATATTTTCCTAAATTTTAAACATACGAAGATGTTTTTATAGCCATACTTTTTTAAATTAAAAGCTACAAATAAATTGGTTGACTAGAACTAACAGTGTCCTTTTCCATAAATTCTTCCTTATTTGCAAAATCACTTAGTTTAAGAAGCTCCTTGTCCACTTACTTGTACTTGTGTATGTTTTAAAAAGATTGCTTTAGTTTACTGTACTAATATGATTCTTAAAAGAATGATTTTATTAATCCTAAAAGTACAAAATTTTATCACGTCATTTTTCTGACTTAAACATATTCTTACACCTATCACTTTTTCAGGAGTGTTAATGAACTTTCATTATTTATCATCACCAGAAACTACCATTATCATAAAAATTTTATGTACACATTATGTATACATTCTCATCCTAATCTATGGTTATGACAAACAAAACACGAAATTTAAAAATTATGATTCAGCCTCTCTCTCATCCCAAATTAGCATAAATGTTTCAAATTCTTGGACTGCAAACAGGAAAATTTTATAAAGTGGCTGTGATATTCTTTGCTCAATGATCACAAATCCTTCTCTTTCAAGTTTATAGACATTTATTTTTATTTTTCTATCATTTATTTATTGTAATATTTAACTGTAATATATATGGGGTATAATGTGTTGTTTTAATATGTGCATATACTGCACATTGATTCACTTAGGGCAGATAGTGCAGCTTTGTACCCATGAATCAACCACTTCAGGTACAGGGATATTTCTACAATGCATTTTAACAAGTAGCAATCTTCATGCTCCCCATTTTATTTTCTTTGTAATCATTACCCTTGTTTCATTTGAATTGGGAAACTCATGCCATAAGGAAATAACTTGTACTTCCCAAGAGAGTGTCCTTCAGGAAGGATCTTGGTAGTGGGGGTGGGGGAGGAGCTGGGGATGACGGTTCTTGGCTGTAGAACAAAGGTACTTAACAAGGGGCAGATTGTTCGTCTGTGACACCTGAGAAGACCATTGGCCAGGTGGAGAAGGACACAACAATCAGGGTCCTGAGGAAGGGTCCCTGTGGGTTGATACCCGCACAGTTCTTCCTTGTGGTGAGAGCAGCTGGATGAGAGGAATAATGCTCTAACTCCAAGTTGCTGAAAGTATGGTTTTTTGAGCATGGCTTTGGTGTGTCCTGGGAGTTTGTTAGAAATCTAGAAGCTTTCCCCAGCCCTGCTGAATCAGAATCTGCATTTTAACAAGATCCCCAGGTGAGTTGTATGAGCTGTTACCATCTGAGAACCTCCGATGTAGCTCAGAGATTAGACCTCCCTCTCACAGCTGTGAAACAGGGAAACAGGAGAAGTCTGAGAGCTCCTGGTCAGGAAGGGGAGACTGGAGAAAGAATCAGAGCAAAAGAGCAGAGGAGAAGTGAGAGGAGAGCAGACTCAGCTCAGGGCTTCCTGGAGAGGACGAATCGTATCCTGCACGTATGCCCTCTTCTTCCCACCTGCCTCATCCTACTGAATGAGGTGGAGTTTTTTCTTCTGAGAACCCTCCTCCAATCCCAATCCCATCCCAATCTTGCTCAGGACCTTGGAGGAACCGGTTCTTCACCAGCTCCTATGCTTTTTTCTCTTCTCCCTCTTTCTCCCTTCCCATTCCTTCTTCCTCTCTTTCTCCTTCTTCCTAGACCTCTCTGGACCAGGGTTTCTTCATCTATAAAATGTGAACAGCCATCTGCCCCAAGCTTACATGGTTGTTCTGAGGATCAAGTAGCAAAACATATAGGAGAATGTTTTATTAAGTATAACGTGCAATATTAAAATGAGAGATTGATTAAATTGTATTAATAATTAAGGAAGTTGGATTTTTCTCGAGGCCACTCCCCTTAGGCCTCTACTTACCACCATACATTCCTTCAATTCTGTTTTAACTTTAAGCGCCAGGGAGACTATCTCATTTGCTTCTGCTTCCTGGGGCATCTGCAAATCCATTATTATCGGCCTCGGACTGGTTCTGGGAAGAGAGAAGCAGTGAACAGAGATCAGAGACCAATCCACAAGATAGAGGGGACACCATGAGCAGGGCAGGAGGACAGGAGACAGGGCAAGGGAGTGAGATGAGGGGGTTCGTTCAATCGCTCAGCATCAGAGTCCGTGAGAATTTTTGTATGTTGGTTAGTTTGGTTGTTTTGTACAGATGTCATTTTGTTTAATAAAGCAACTGGGACACTTTATTTAAAACTGAGCATCTTCTTTCTTTCCATGGACAAAAAAAAATTTTTTTTAATTAAAAAAATAAAAGTACAATATCACATGTCATTTTCTTTTTTTTGTCTTTTTTTTTTGTGTGTCTTTTTTCGTGACCAGTAAGGGGATCGCAACCCTTGGCTTGGTGTTGCCCGCACTGCGCTCAGCCAGTGAGCGCACTGGCCATCCCTATATAGGATCCGAACCCGCAGCAGGAGCGCTGCTGCACTCCCAAGCGCTGCACTCTCCTGAGTGCGCCACGGGGCCAGCCCACACATGTCATTTTCTAATAACATCCTACAGGTTCTGCTGATTGTCCACTGAGTGGGTGGGCTCAAGTCATCATTAGGGGAAAGTTTCACATCAACAGAATCATGTTAAACCAGTAAACATCTCAATGCATTGGACGAGTCTGTAGGACCATCCTTGAAGACCCTCCTTCTTTGTTTCCTGGATAAGGTCTAGGAATTTGTAGTTAGCTCTAGCGGGGATTTAGACATATGGCCATGTTTGGGAACTTCAATTATCTCTCTACATTCACACTGCACACTTCAGTCTGATAGGAAAAGGTCATGGAGGCAAAGAAAATGGTTAATTCTTCCTCCCAATCAATGAGGATTGGGTTCAGGAGCAGGAGAGTTACTTCATATAATCTAGAGACTCCTGGCTGAGTCTCTTGGGTGTTGGGTGAGACAGAAGGGAATTTAATCTCTTGACCCACAGTGCTTCATAGCTCCATTTTCTCAGGGCAAAGCATTTCAGATTTCAGGGAGATTCCATTTCTTATGCTGATAGCTCTAGTGCTCAGTGCACAAGACAGGCATGTGAAGACCTAAGTGTCTTCAGAATTCTTCCCATTTGTGAATGAGTTTAGGATTAATAGAATGACCAGCTTAGCTAGAGGGACTAACCATCCCAGTTGCCCAGGACTGAGGGATTTCTTGGGATGACAGGCTCTCAGTTTTAAAACTAGGAAAGTCCTGGGCAAACCAGGGTGGTTGGTCACCCTAATTAGTACATTAATTTCAACAACTCACTTCCTCTCAGGGCTAAGTGGAGTGTCATCTGGATCTAAACTTGTCCCCATGCAAGGTTTCTTGGGACGCTTGCTTCCATTACACCAGCTTGTCAAAACCCTGAACAGTATCCTCCAGAACAGGACACCTGGGCATGCCACACAGAGCACCTCCAGAATCACAACCCAGAAACCTAACGTTCTAAACCCTGCTGCTGCAGGGAAAACTCCCTAGATCTGCTGAGTATCCCTGCTTCTCCACAGACCCCTAGCTGCATTTCCTACTTCATTTTATTTGCCCCAATTTCCCTGCTTCCTTCAAACATGTACCCTCAATAAATTGGCTTCTGAACCAGTGCCCTTGGGTCCCAGCATGAGTGGGGGCAGGAGGTCCTAGTACTCAACTTCAGTCTTCAGGACAGGAAGAACATCTAAGCCACTGGGCTCGCGTAACCTCAGACTGTGGGGCAGTGTCATCTCCTCCTTCAGTGAGTCCTGCCAAAGGTGCCCAAAACTATCATTGGAACTCACAGATCTGTTTCCCCTTTTCTTCTAGGAGACGAGGTGTAAGAAGGTGAAGTTTACTGAGCAGAAATCTAAACAAAGGTGTAGATTATGAACAGGATGTGGATCAGAGAGTTAGAGCAAGACTAGTGGTTAATTACAGCCTATATGTGCACTGGAGCCTTATTTCTACGAGTAACCTGGAAGCACCCAGTGGAAATGTGAGTGGAGCTATGGGGCTTTCTAAGAGGAGAGAAGCGGAACTCGCAGGAAGCCCATGAGACCTCCTGGGACTAGAGTTCTGGAAAGTTGAAACAAATTTTCAGAAAGGGATATGTAGATTTCCAGGTTAGGAGAGAAGCTATCCCTGCCAGGTTTTATTGTAGGGAGTAGAAGGGCATAGCTCACGTGTCTTCCTGAGCTTTGCTGGTCCCCAGCTGCAGGCAGAGAACCAGGAGGAGGGCGGCAGGACTGGCCCTGAACAGGAGCTGGAGATAGCGCATGCTGGAGGAGACAGAAGGTGACACGTCCTAGAGAAGTGGTGTCCCAGGTGCCCAGCACACTTCATATATACAGATCAAGGAAGTGGAAGAGCTGCCAGGTGGATCCAGGAGGTGAATCACCCAATCACCCTCCCCACTTGTGAATTTTCCTTGTTGAGCTGAAGTTTGTTTCTCTATAGAAAAAAAAAAAAATCACCATTCAGCTAGAATGTCAGAGTTTGAGAGAGGAGTTAGATTGTCCTTCCTTATTTTCTCAGTATCATTGTTTCTCAAAATGTCCAGAAACTTGAAAGGTATAAAAGCCCTTCCCCAGCTTATAGATATAGTTTTCTTTCCCCTCTTTATATGCCTGTCTGTCCTGCTGTGTGTAACTTAGCTTCAGTCACTGCTCCCCTAGTCTCTGGGGGCAGAAAACCCAAATGTGGTGGCAGATTTCAGACCATAGCTCTAGAGCACATTTGCTTGATAACCTTATAGTAAGTTCGAAAGGAGATGCCATTCCAAAAATCTCTTGGAGCACTAGGATAATCAGCGCTTCTGTAGGGGCCACCACCAATAATGCAGTGGGAGAACTGGGGAAGAGCTGGGCTGTCCTGGATGATAAAGTGAGGCCATAGCACTAGGCGACATGGAATGTTTGTTATTATTGAGTCCTTCTTACCTTCAAGTGTAATATCTTACAGATGCCCAAGATCTCCAGCTGCCCCAAAGTCCGCAATACGGGGTAATATTTCAATTCTAAACAATTCCTGTAAACAGCTGGCACCTTCAAATCAGACTTCTTGGCACCAGAGAGTCTGCTCATTCCATTACTGACGTGGCCACATTCTCACACTTGTCTTACAACATAAGGCACATAGAAAAACCCACAATGGAAAGGACTCCCTCTTACAACAGAACCCAAAGCATGTCCCAGAGATGTCCTGGCCCTAGAATTCCTCTCATTGGAATGATAGGGAGACTTGCTTTTGCTGACACTGGCATTGTGCTATTTCTTTTTACTAAATTAAATCTGTTTCTTAACCTATGACTTATGACATTTTGCAACTTGTTTCTGTCCCTTGCATGACAGATGGCAGCCCAGGAAGAGCCTCTCTGGCATGAGAGAGAAAATCAGAGTTGTAGGAGTTACTTATGTCTGTTGCTATAGCCAGGATTCAGGATTAAAGTCTAGGTGTACGCTTCTGGATGTTTCTTTCAAAATTGCTCTGCCTGCACATTCTACTCCTGCATCTCCCTTCTCATTCCTTTAGACTGACAGCATTCAGGTCATTCCTCACTTACAACTTCACCTGTTACTGTGATCACATGCTTTCTCCTCTGTTTATGTCCCTTGGTCTCAAGAACAATGCTTTCTTTCCACCTTGTCCTGGTCACAGTGACCTTCCTTCATAAACGTTCTCCCATGATTAAATTTTCTTTACACCTGGTCCTTCTCTTCCTTACTTGACTAATTTCCATCAGAGGGACAGACTAGCTGGGATTGACCAAAGCGTAAGGCAAAAGAATCAAGGAGGTGTCCACATGGGAAAATCCAGGAAGAGCTCTCTGCTTGGGTTTAACTCCCTTTGAAGCAGAGCCCTGCCCTTGAGCACGTATCTCCAGCGTCCCCACTGAGGCAGTGCTCAGAAAGGAGCAGATGGCAATGGGTTCTGAAAACTAATTAAGGGTAAAGAGGCTCTTCTTGTGTAAGCCAGCAGGAAACTGCAGTACTCGGAACTGTTCCATGTACACAACAAATCTTATGTACAATGCAGGCCATGGCTGGTGTGATGGTTAATTTTATGTGTCAGCTTGACTAGGCATGGTACTCAGTTTTTGGTAAAACAATAGTCTAGATGTTGCTGTGGAAGCATTTTTTTTAAGAGGTGATTAACATTTAAATCCGTAAACTTTGAGTAAAGCAGATTATCTCTATAATATGAATCGGCCTCATCGAATCAGTTGAAAGCCTTAAGGGAAGAGCCTGAGTCTCTCCGAGGAAAAGGAAATTAGGGGAAAGAAACAAATAAAAATTTGGGGGCCAGGTATTGAGCAAGTCTAGTAGGTTTAAGAAACCAAACAGAGGTTGATAAAATCAGATTGTAAACAACTCAGGAGACTCACGGAACAGAATGTGCACAGGCACAAAGGGAACGGGCTAAGATTTAAGGAGAAGCTTGTCATGGGCTAAGTTTACAAAGAGAAACTCATGAGCCTGACAGGGATTGTGAAAGGAGAAAATAAAAAATGGCCAGAAGTGGGGGTTATAGGAGCCAACACCCATGGAGCTCGTAGCACGTGCATGATACTTTCTAAACATTTTACATGTATCAACTCACTTAATCTTCAAAACAACCCTAGGAAGTGGGTTGCCATTTTTACCCCATTGTACAGGTGAGGCTATGGAGGCACAGAGAGATAAATATCTATCCCAGGTCACAAAACCAACTTTGGATTCAGGTTTTGTAGAATCTGAAAGTTTTGATTTACGTTATTGGGGAACCTCTTTCAGGAATAGAATATAAATTTACAGACATAAAATACAGACTTTGGAAGAGGCACCTATAAGCGAGGAGGCCTGAGGCTTAATGTCATTAACTTAATGGTAAATACACCTTTGGCTGGAGCCAGAATTTGAACACAGGCCATCTGGCTCTAGAGCCTGAACTTTCAACCACTGCACTGCCTACCGGTGAGAACAAGTTGTAAAGTCTGAGTTGGAGTTCAAAATCAAGTAGTCCTATACCAAAGTCTATGTCCTTAGATCCTTGTCTAACTTGTTTCTTGATGTAATAACATTTTAAAGTTGAGGAAAGGAAACTCACACAGGTTCGAATAATTTGTTCAAGTTATACAGCCAAAAAATAACAAAGGTATTATTGAAGCCCAGATAGAAAGAGTATAAAGTTGGCACTTCTGTTTCCTTTCAATTAATAAAATCGTGAGTGCTGTAAGATTTATACAAGGACATGTAACTCATACTGAGGATGTACTGAGTTTTTTACCAGAGGAAGTTACATCCAAGCTCAGTGTTGAAGTGTTGCATAATGAATCAAAACCAACCTGAGAGAGGCCTGAGAGCGCACGTGTGTGTGTGTGTGTGTGTGTGTGTGTGTGTGTGTGTGTGTGTGTGTGTGTGTGTGTGTGTGTGTATTTAATAGCAACCATAATGCTAGCTGCCTTAATATCAGTCCTAAAATCTTAATGGCTTAATGCGATAAAGGTCTATTTATAGCTCACATAAAATCTATCAGAGGTGATACGGGGGCAGGAGTGTGACTCTGCTCTTAGAAAATCAGTCATCTTTAGTTCCTTTTCTAAGGTCACCTTGGGCATTAGCATCCAGCTGTTAAAAGGTGAAAGAGAGTGGAGGATTACAGAGTGATTTTTTATGGGCAAGATTTGGTAGTGGCATATGTCATCCATCCTGCATCTCCATGGTCACGGCTTGGTCGTATGGCCAAACCAAACTGCAAGAGAGATTGGGAAATGTAGACTCGCTGTGTGCCCAGGACAAAAGAGAAGGGTTTGGTGAGGTTGCTGCGTTACCGTACACATATGGAATATGTATCTTTGCTTTTCATAGAGAATACCAAAATGTTTTCCAAAGTTGTGGTATCAGTTTACACACGACGCTATGTCCTCAGCAGTATTTGATATTGTCAATCCTTCTAAACTTGGCTTTTCAGATAGATCTGTAGTGGAGCTTATTGTGATTTTACTTTGAATTTTTGTGATTATTAATGGTATTTGGCCTCTTCACATATTTTCTGGATATGGTATATTCCCTTTTGTGAGGTGCCTGTTCAAGGCTCTTGCCACTTTTCAATTGGGTTGCTTGTCTTTTCTTATTGATAGCAGGATTTCTGTATATATTCTGTGTGTATGCCTTTTTAAAAATTACTTCTTCTGCCCTGTATTGCTTTTCATTCTTTTAATGATGTTTTTCATGAACAGAAGTTCTTAATTTTAATGTTTACATTTATTAGGCTTTCCTTTATAGTTAATGTTTTTTCTCCTCTAAGTTTGTGAAAATACTCATTTTTATTATCTTCCAGAAGGGTTTTTGTTTCTTTCTTTAGAAATTCGGATCTATTATTACCGGCAGGTGACCTTTGTGTTTGATGTAACGACCAAGATTTTTTTTTCCATATGGATATTCAATGATCTTTCCACCATTGTTGAAAAAAAATGTCATTTTCACATAGCTTTGCAATGACAACTTCATTGTAAATCAAGTGTTCATATTTTTTTATTGGTCTATTTGTCTTTGTTATGTCAATTCCACATTCTTTTAATGACTATAAATTTATAGTAAAATTTATTCATGACCTCTTCTAGTATAGAGATTTTTTTCAAATAGATATTGGTCTATTTGTCTTTGTTATGTCAATTCCACATTCTTTTAATGACAATAAATTTATAGTAAAATTTATTCATGACCTCTTCTAGTATAGAGATTTTTTTCAAATAGATTCTTTTTCAAGATTCTCACCTTTTGAAGTACCCTCATATATTTAAAATTAGCTTGTAAAATTCTGCAAAGAAAAATGTTGGTATTTTGATTGGGACGACACTGACTTATTTCAGTCATGTTCTTGTTTTCTAGTCATTGTTAATCTTAGTCACCTCGGAAGTGCTCATTGTCCAGGGCAGGCCTGGGGCTCCATCTTAAGACATGCTCAGTCATCTGGCATTCGCAGGCCAGCCCACCCCATCAGAAGTCCTTTCATCTCCCAAGGAAGGCTCTGGAGCAGAGTGCTGTGTGTGTGGAGAACAGGTTCCAAGCACTTATGGAACATACCCCCAAAGGACCTCTTCAATGTCCTGAAAGCCAATCCCCTCTCCCCTAGGATGGATCAATTCTGCCTCCAGCAGCCCTCTCCCCACCATATGCCAGCCTCCTTCATTGGGCCTTCATACCCATCATTACACCCTGACCTGCCAAATATCTGAAAGACAATATAAGTTATGGAACCCACACTCAGAACACAAAGACATATTAGGATGGGGAAGGC